GAAGATGAGGAAATATACTTTTTGGTGTTGACAGTTTTTGATAAGCGATGAGAATGATTATTTGTTGCAATATCTTTTTACAGATTCATGTGATTCTAGCTGCTGATACAGTTCGTTCTTGATCAGAATACGCTAGAATGAACATTATTTTTGTTTATTTCTGATGTATTTTGTGTCACCTGTTCCTGAATAAAGATATTTTTGATAATGGCAGTCATTTTCCATGAGATTATGGTTCACTTTTTACAAATACTAAAAGTGCTTATTAAAACTCGTGCTTAAGAAACGATTGAACAGTTCAAAGAATAAAAACGAAGCCGAAATAGAAAATATGAAATAATAGCAGATGACCCGGTAAAGAATAATTTAAAAAACCACATACAGATCGATCCACAGGCGCGCATACAGGAAGCCTTTTTTAAAACTAACTCCTTACGCCCGAGACTTTACAGTCTTGCGAATTATAGTAAAAGAGTTGCAAAAATCAAGATAAAAAAATAAAACAATCATTCGTATTTATATAGACAGTGATTGAAAAAAACATGTTTCAAACAGACAGAGAAACTCAATGAATTATTTATCATTTTGCAGAAAACTTAGACACAGTCTGTCGGAAATATCAAATAAATAATTATTCAACTATTTATTTTAGAATATACATTCTAAGGTCAAAAAAATGTGCTGTCTATTAGGGTCTGTGGAAGAGGAATAGTCCCAAGTTTCTTCCAATATACTTCGAAAACTCATTTATAATTGTTTCAAAAATAGCCGGGCAAAATGTCAGTCAATGTAGAAAATGCTCCGTGCAAAAGAAAAGACTCGTGCCCAGATGCTGACTATCTATTACGAGGTGTCAATCTCTCTTGCACTTTGCTTCCTCTTGTGATACTCTTGACTCTTCTACTTCTGCTATCATCTGTGACTGATTTCTCTTGTCCATATGATACTTTTCTTAAGAGCAGAGTTGTCTAGATTGAATGCTCACACTGATTTCGCTTCGTTTTCCTCGGATGATGACACATTGTGGTTTCCTATCCGTCAATATAGTCTTTCTTGTCATAAGCGTTGCAAAAATCAAGATAAAAAATAAAACAATCATTCGTATTTATATAGACAGTGATTGAAAAAAACATGTTTCAAACAGACAGAGAAACTCAATGAATTATTTATCATTTTGCANATATATATATATATGACATGCACATAAAATATCATTTTAAGAGAGAAGCAGATACTCTAATAATATTTTGATCTTTCTAAGATATTTAAGACATTTAAATTTCATTCGGTTCGGTTCGGTTCGGTTCGGTTCGGTCCGGTTCGGTTTGAAACTTTTTCGGTTCGGTTCGGTTCGGTTTCAAATTTTTAAAAAATCGGTCGGTTCCGTTCGGTTCGGTTTAAAACTTTTTCGGTTCGATTCGGTTCGGTTCAAAAAAAAACACGAACCGATCCCATCACTGATACGTATACGTCGGTGTTTTTTTATTTTTTTGCATTAGCAAAAAATGGCATTTCTTGACTTCAATATATATTTCGGTCATTGTGTTGATTGTTTTTATAGTAAGAGGTGGAAGGACTGAACTTAATAATGATCGAAGTCGAGCAGAGCCGAAAACGAGAATAGGGAATCCAGCAGTCCCAGTCTATTCTCGAATTCGTTGTATGTCTAATTCATATTAAGATTTTGCTTATAAATATGAAAGTGATATGGAATTATTTTCTCATGCGTCGACGTACCGGTACTGTTTTAACGAAGAAGCGTTTAAAAAAGTTAAACTTTTTAGTTCTACAAGTGGTCAAAAACAAAAAAAATGTACATACATTAAGCGGACATGCTGCGACTCACCACTCTCTGACAAATGAGCATTTTAATACACCTATTATTTGCATTGAAACAAAAACCTTCTATTCTTCTGTGTTTGTCGAAGAATCTCAATCTTATCACCCCACTATGCCATTTAAAAAGGCAAAAACTCAAAATGTTGTTCTTTTTTTTCAAGCAAACAAAAATGAAAAATAGTTCTCTTGTTTACGTGTTTGCGGGCTTCGAGCCATTTTCTTTCAATATATTGTGTTTATAAAACACAAAAAACTAAGAACAGCTGCTGCTTGTCGTATAGATTTCTTCAAATGTCCCATCACTTGCGAAATGTTTCGAGATTCACTTACTGGAGAAGATGGTTATACGTATGAACAAAAGCCATAGAGACTCGACTTCAAAAAAATGATTCAAGTCCAATAACAGGTAAACCCATAGACATCAATTCATTTCGACCGAATCACGTTGTCAAGCGGATTGTTAATGATTTGGCACTTCGTCATTCCAGAAACGTTGTCGATTTAAACTTAACGTCAATATAAAAAGCTGTTAGCGCAATCCCTGTAGGAGTAAAATGTGAGACACGATGAACCTGCCCATATTGCAAAATTAAGAGATTCTGTAATTTATATTCCATATTGTTAGCGAGTGTTCATGATGGAAGGTTTTAATCGTAATATCGAATGCGGATGTGGGTACGAGTGAGGATGTTCGAATAGGTCTGCGTGTGCGGGAGGCTGTGATCGTGGATGTGAATGTCCTTTACTTCTTCACCTATCGGCACCGACACTCGTGCCGCGAGAACAACTGTTCGGAGAGCAACTGTCTCGGGAGACATTGTCGCGGGAACATCTGTTCTGAGAGCACCTTTCATTGAATCCCCACACCCACGTCCACACCCTGAATCGTTTTATAAACTAAGGACATACTGAAATAGTTGTAAAATTCGATCAAACAAATCACATATATGAGATATGCAGACGACAGAATTTCTTTCGACCTATTCCCAGATTAGTCAACGAGATGTTCTACGAATCTGTTTAAACAAACTCAATGTATTTAATAAAAATGGAAATATGAATAATCATAGGTCAAATGTCTGTTTCCTCTTAGCATTTTATCCCGCTTAAGCATTGTTTTCAAATGCAACAAAATACATAACAGGTCTTCAATTTCTTATTTAGTGATCAAATGGCATCTCCTTCTACGAATACGAAAGTTGACGAGGCAACTCAAATTTTCAGACAACGTTCATTGGACATTGCCTCAGAACCACTTAGAATGTTACTTCCAATTGCTGGATATGAGGAAGTTGCCTTAGTTTCTTTGAAAGAGGCCGTTGCACCACTCGCTTCTTTCATACCGAAAATTGAAGACCACGCCTGGATAGCACTGCATAACTGTGACGATCCTGCAGATGATCTGACACCGAATGAATCAGCTGCAGTCGTGGGTGTGGGTGTGTGGGTGTGCGTAGGTGTGGGTGCTAGTCTTCTCTTCAAGAACGCCCACATCAGCAACCACACCCACACCCACCAACATAGAAGAGACTGCGCAAAAGTGACAGATGAAAACAGCTGATTCGAATACTTCTTAACCGTATATATCATCTGCACTACATGATACAGATGATATGAAGAAAAATAAATAAATCACACTATAATGCATTTCAATTTCTATATCTACCGTTTGATTTATTTGACTGTTAGTAAATTTTATTTACTAACCTTTCAATTTATTTACCGACCATTCATTCATTTTACTGACCAAATATTTTGTCGCCATATTTTATATTGTATACTCAATATCATCTGATGTTTACGAGCGCGATACGAAACAACAGAAACGATTGTACTGTATGAGTAAATAACATTGTTCTCTAGATGATTGAATAGGATTTTCATTCAATTATCAACGAAATCACTAATGAGAAAAAAAGGATGTATTGAAAATAGCAACTGTCATTCTACACAACATTCCTTAGTTTTAGATCTGAGAAATTATCATAGTGCTCAAACTAAAATGCGCTACTAATTTACAGCTGAAGCATTAAATGGTGATTCCAAATTGTTCTACTGACGTAAATAGAATTATTAAATGTTATTCGATGTATCTTATTTCATCGCTAATTTTTCGTGAAGTAACTTTTATGGCTGAGTCTCCTAGTTAGCAAACATTCATGCAAATAGCTGCTCATTTCTTGGGTATTCAATATCACGAGTTAGTTCAAGAAAATTATCAAAGTCTCATTGTTTTTTGTTATTTTTCAGAACTATTCGGAAAAAGCCCTTTCAAATACTCATCTAGATCGATACCTGTTGTGTTGAATTGTTTCTCAAGTGTTTCAAGTCGTTTTTGAATCTGTGTGTTCTATGGTTAATCTCAGCATAAGTTCTACTTTAATTGAATTCGAATACTTTAATCACTATTTGATTGTAATCGAATAAGTTTTGCCGTCCTCAATGACTTGCTTTCTTCTTCGAATATTTATCTTTGTTACTACATTGATACATATAATGAGTACTCATTCTGTTTATCAATCGTATGTTTTTATGAGTCAATTTGTTGTATTCAATTTCTCTCTGAATTAAATATGGTGAATCAGTTTGTACGAAAATATTTTATTTGAATGAGATTTAAATTCATCAAATTAGACACTTCGAATTAATTCCAAGATTCATAACATTTCATTTAGCATTATTGCTAGAAATTTTTCCTGAATCACTTTTGGCATAAAAAAGATATGTGCAAAGAGATCTATTGCTTAAGTAAAATATACAAAAAAAAAGTTTGACGAAAGATCCTATCGATTATTATAGTTATGATCAGAGTATTTAATAAAAAGCAAAACAAGAGTTGATAAATAACGAGATTTAAGGAATATTAAAATAGTGTTAATTAAGAAAACATTAGTATTTGGTGAAAATCTTATGGGTGTTAATTGTTCGCTTTAGTCTCTACATTTTGATTCTTATCAAGTTCTTTGCCATTATTTTTATTAAAAGAAGGATTTGTATAATCTTTGTTTTAATCGTTTTCATTGATTGTGTTCTCGATTGATATTGATGATATTATGCTACAATAATAAATAGTAATTTAGTATTGATGATTATCAAAATTTTATATTGTTATTCATCAAAAATATGAATGATATTAACTATGAAAAGATGTTTTTTCTCTCTTACATTTCAGGATTCGATCCAATAGAATGTATTATATTTGTAACCAATGATGAAATTTCTTCTGGTGATGATTCTTTTGACGTTGGATCTACTTCTTGTTGATGAATAACACGATTGGATAGTGATGATGGAGACTCGGCTCTAATTGTCGAATATGGATATGGATGTAAAACATTGGATTTCTACAATGATACAAAAATTAATTTTATATTAAATATTTATATATAAAATTAGTATTCATTTCTTTGTTGAATAAATATTAGAAAAAGAATAAAACTCTAACCGTTATTGAAATATGTCTTTTTTTGTCATTGTGCGATGTCCAAGGATTTTGTTTTGTTATTGATGGCGACATTTCACTGTCTGGTACATTAAGTTTTTCCATATTTGTTATATTTGAAATAGACGATCTTGGTCGATTATTATTACTTAATTTTCCGATTATTTTCGTTATGATGGGAAGACGAAGACGTTTAGACATTGTTTGTTCTTTTATGTTTGAATATTCAATAGATATTTCATTATTATCATCATCATTGGCACCCAACATTGATAAATCATCTTTAGAATAAGAACCAAACTTTTGATTAAGCTTTGTAAGATATTCATTCTTCAAACGATATCTTTGTTCAATAACACGTTGGTGAAAAAAATCTTTTTTTAAAATAGTATTTGTTGTATTCAAAATTAATGTTAGAAAATAATCTCGAAATAATTCATCATGTTTAAAGGTACCACCAGGTGGATCAACTATTGGTTCAATGTCACAACGACGCCAAATATCAATCTAAAAGTAAAACGAATTAAATTATATCTTTTGTTTTGTGATTATAAGCAAAATCAAACTTTGTAATAAAGGTCAGATTTAATTTGAATCGGTTTCACTACAATATAGACTTGTACTACTTTTCCAAGAAAAGAATCTGGTTGAAATGAAATTTCACTTCCATCTTGAAAAACAATATATATTAATGAATTAGCAATTAAACTTTTTCTTCGAATAAATTCAAGATCATTTTTATCAGAGGGAATCATTGGTGCTACATTAAACATAATTTGATGATTTTGATACGTAGTATAATAAGAATAAATTCCATGTTGGTCAGCTTTTGTATCAAGATCACCACGATATTTATTAAAATCTTTTAACTGAACAAGTTCACTAATTCAATTTAGAAAATTTTTCATTTCAATCGACATTTCATTGTTACTTAATATTTCAATTTCATTTGTTTGATTTAAATGTTGATAAACAATACCAATTTTATTTGAATATAGTTCATCATTATATTTGTCAAATTCAAGAATTTTTTCATTTGCCTTAATAAATAATTTACATCAAATCATCTTTAAACAACAATAACAAATGGAA